ATGATGATGATGATGACGATGATGATGATGATGGTGGTGATGATGATATAAAAAAATGGAAATGAACAGAAACAGAGAAATGAGAAAAAGGTATGAATTTGTAATGTATTATTGTATTTTGTAGGCAGCTAGTGTACGTATACATATGCACATGTACTCGTGTATGTATGTTTACGTATATAAATATACATACTCTTCGACATTTACACGTACCGTTCGCCTAAATAGTCAGCAGAATACATATTTTGAATTTGATCGCGGTTCGATCGGGGAACGTTCGGCCGAGATTCGTGACGGTCGAACCTGACCGAATTCAATCATCCGCGGGTCATCGTTCCCCGGCTGGACCGTTCGACCTTTTGGACTCTGTTAGAGCACCTGGGGCGCAAGACAGATTGCACACGAATACGTTCACCATTGATCCGAAAAAAAGAATTAATAAGAAATGCGCGGTACGTACAGATCACGCGATTCGAAACTAAAAGAAAGGGAAAAAAAAACGAGAGACAATTCGGAATGAATTCGCGCGCGTAGATAGGTACGTGGTCTTCACACGCATGCAACTGGGCGATGATTAAACGTTTTACGAATGGAAAGGAAGAAATGGAAAAATAAAGAAAATAAATCAATCCTACGGTGACGTTGTAATGAATGGAAATAATCAACTACCGACTAGCTAGGCCGTAAATGAAATGCGTTTACGTGCCGACTAAATTCCCTCCCATCGCAGATTGATTGTGTGTTAACTAATAAGATTAAGTAATTGATATAGTACAGTTAAGGAATTTAATTAATATGAATAACGATACTATCAGTACGCTAAGCACGTTTCAACGTTGTGACGTGGTGGTATATAGCTAAGGCGAAGTTTTATGACACGGAATTTTCGGTTCAACGTGACACACTGAGCTGCTCGGCGCGTCTGCACTCGGGGACGCACAGAAACGTCAAATTACCTTGTTATTTCCGCAACTGAAGAATCGTTCGACAAGAGAAATATTAGCAATAGACTATATACACGTGACATTAACACACAGAAGACACTCGACACCGCGGCCGCATATACACGCTGCACAGGCTAGGAAAGTGAAATACTATCTATAACGACATATTATAAATAACATTAAGACGTCAACTGTATTTGTTTAATAAAGATGTACATTCGAAAAAGCGACACAAGCTGTTTTCCAGTCAGTAGGACACATCTGAATTCTACTGTTCGTAAATTGGGGGATGCCTGCTATTGGATCGGCAACTTTATGTTGCATATTATACTGGAAAGTGGAAAAGATACTTTTCAGATCAAACTGAACGTGTAACAAAGTTGATTTACTAATTTTCTTGGCGAGAAATTAGTATGTCCTATCGGCTGAATTATAGTTTAATATTAACTTTTCCTTTCTAATTTTGGATTATTTATATGCTTTCCTTTGGTGGTATCTGTTAGATCATTATATTGATGTATATTTATTTAAGGAAGATATTTTTTTTAAAGAGTTTCTAGAATATTAAGTATCTTTTTCGAAAGGTCCTACAAAATTTGGTACTTAATTATGTCATTGTATTTATTATAAAAAAATCTGACACTTAATTATCTTACTATATATATTATGCATTTATGGCTTTATTTTGCTTACCTATTTTCTTCATGGAATGATTATACCGGACTTTCTAAGTACATTGGATATTTAATAAAATAGACCAATGCTCTTTATAAATGACAGAATGTTTTATTTCTGTATGCATATGTATCCCTTATATGCAAAAAATATTAGGATATTTTTAAATTAAAATTATTTGACATGTTAACAGCATTAATTGTATGCCTATACAATTACTGCTACACAATGGGATTTTAATAAGTTCTCATTAAATAAGTATTAAGTTAATATTTTTATATGCACTTAAATACGTATCATATATTTACAATTAAACATACATTTTGCAAAACGTAAATGAATGTATACGTTAGCAATAATTATAAATAATGATGTCTGATAAAAGCTAATTAATGGTAATTATTTACTTTTCTATGCAAAATATTTTGAATTTTTTTGATAATTAAATCATATCTGGAACAGTGATTTCAATCTTCGTTAGATTCTGATATTGAAGATAATAAACAATGCATTTCGATTGCTTATATAAAAATGTTGGGCAAGAAAAAGCTTGTCCAAACATTTACTTTTTTAAAACTATATTGCACAATGAGGAATTTAAACATAAAGCTGATTCGTGTATATATGTTAACAATATATGTATTACTATATTGAAAGCTAAACAAACATTTTTGTTTGTTTATATTTCTATAATGAAATTCTTAAAGCAAAAATTATTATTTATATTTCATCTTCTCACTTTTAAAATCCTTCAGTCAATTATATCGTTATTTTGTTTAAATATTTATTAAATCATAATACCTCTTGAAAAAATAATAAATTTCGCTATTCCAGTCTTGGCAATATAGAAGTTTGTTTTAACATGAAATCAAATTTCCTATTAATTCTATTATTTAGGCTCACACATTAAAAATATTAAAATATTTTATAAAGTTTTACAATTCTCGCTATCACTGTTAAACATTAATTACTCCATCTATTACAAAACATGATTAAAGAAAAGTTATTTTACAAAAGTAATTAACACCAATAAGCGAAATCTTCAGAAAATTAAGGTAAGAGTACCATTAAATGGATTCCAAATGTAAAGTGAATACATATTTTTTAGAATTTTGTTCTATTCTTCTTCTTTGTTTACTTTTACAATAAATTAAGATAGTTATTTTTTCATTTCGTATCAAATAAACGTTTTGTTACGAAATATTTCCCATATTTCCTGTTACAATTACAATTGGACACAATTACCTATAATTACTGCATCGAGCAGTTGACGTTTCAGTATAAACAAACAATAATCGTTGCATTATCACCGTTATGTGAAAATAGTTTTATGTTTTCTGCATTCCAATGTAAGAGCGCGCTTTGATAAACAACGCTCCATACATAAGGGATGAAGAATTCTTCAGGCTGTTCTTCTTCCACATATTTAAATTTCAGTTCTGGAAATTTCTGTAAAGTATACAAACGCTACAATATGCAACGAAGTAAAAACTAAAACAGAAGAAGTTTATGTATTCAAAATTCAGAACACATACGACAAACAAGTTTTCATTTAAGGAAAGACAGAGAGAAAATATTCAAGTGTAAATTTTGTATTAATATAAAATTGTTTTATGCGTACCCGTAATCGATCACGAGGCCATTCGTTGGTACCTTGTTGTATCGTAGTCAATACTTGGCTGACACCAAGTTGGGATTGATCTTTCTGCTCCAATTTGTAAGAAAAGAAATTAATCACCTAAAATTTTGTTCATTATTATTCAACTTATCAGCAACCTATTGAGATTATAAATACTACAAATGTTTATACTAACAGAATCTATATTTTGCACAATGTCTTGAAATGCCGTGTGTGTCCTGAATGGTTGAAAAATATCTTTTTTGTATAAAAGTGTGTATATCAAATTTGGATTATGTGCAAGTCTATAAGTTAGGCAGCTATTTATGATTTCTAATACCATTCGTAATACTTCTTCAAGTATCGTTAAGTCTTGAATCTGAAATACAAAGTACATGATGTATATTCTAATTAAAGACTTACGAAAATCGTTTTATGTCGTGTACCGTAAAATCTTACCAAGTCTGTATTTGCAGTAGTTCCATTAACAGTAACGGTGGTACTGTCTGAAGGCGCGGAAGGCTGCGCTTGTATCTTTGCTTCTAATCTGACATGTTTTTTCGCAAGAGTTTCAAATAAACTTAACAGTCTTTGACTAACATATGGATGTAAAGATGTGAATTGCGCAGACATATTTGCTAAAGCTGCTAAACAATTTGTATGTAGATATTTATCCTGTGATGAGAAATTCAAAAATATTTCGTTACTTATCTTCACAATTAATTACATTTGTAAATGCTATAATCTTACCCTCATTTTGAACATGTTGTACTGAATAGTCCGTATTACAACAAGAATCAGAAGACCTCCCAATGATATTTCACTTATTGATCTTTCCGTGTACCAACTTACACCTTTAAGCATCTAATAGGTATAGTATTATTAACATTTCAATATTTTTGTGTATAATTTTCAGAAATGATGTAAAGATTGATTAATGTTTGTACATGACGTACTTACTATTTCATGTATTCTTTTATTAAAGGTTTCATCTTCGCTCAAGATGAGAAGAATAATGAGAGACATGTAAATGTGATGAGATGTATTATTTGGAGCGTGATATAATATTTGCAGTATAGGTGTTACCTGTAGAAATATAAAACTTTTTTAACTTACTTTCTACATTTATTAACATTAAAACTACATACCGTTCAGTATGATTAATATATAATCCTGGTAAAAATTGGAACAATAGATTTTTTTCGATTTCTTCGTATATTCATTATAGTATTTAAGTAAAACTATTTACTTTTAAATTAATTTCGAATGTTTAACAGTTTTAACATATTGATAATTACGAAATAAGAAAATTGGAACCAGTCATTTTGATGGATGCACTAGTTCTAGCTTTAAACTTATCATAGTTTTGCATTGTTTTACTAACAAATTAAAAATATATTCACCAATAGTTGTATATCAGGTCTTCTCATGATGTCTTGTTTTACACTTGAATTTCTATGTAGTAACATATACAACAATAACGTAACTTCATCCGTATTGGGTATTTTACATATAGTATTATACAATTTATTTAAATTAAATCTAAATGCTTGTACCGTAGAATAATCTCCTAAAAAATTGAATATTTATTTTAACATTATTCATGGGAGAATGAAGCATTTGATTGTATCTTCTTTTCATTATTTGACATTGAAAGTAATTGTTTTAATTAATACATTAAGGTACCAACCTCGCAAGTCGACAAAACTGAAAAGTGCATTTCTGTAAGGATTTTGTGTTGCGGTACAATGATTTGTTAGAACCAATAACAATAATAAAGACTGACTAGCAAGTGGTGTTTCTGTGTCACGTTTTTTTTCTTCTACTTCAGAAGTACCATTACTTGTTACTTGTGTACTTTTTAAGCTACTACCCATACCCATTGTAATCACATTCCATAACCCAGCTGAAATAAGTTTTGTATGTTATGTATACTTATTGTAAATAGTAATATAAGTGAATTAAATTAACGGACTATTTACATATGTACGATACTGTATTATATATTTAAACATACCCGCTATACTAAAGACAATACTTCCTCCAGCTTGTTGAGTAAGTAATCCTGGAGGAGCATGTTCTTGCTGTACAAAATTATGTAATAATGTACAAACCAATGCTGGTGCATGTTCACTAGAATGTGAATGCATTGCTATTCTATAAATGGAGCTGTATTCAGCCGCAGTTTGTGAAAATAATTGTACCGAAAGTAGTACAAGTAAGCAATTTATTGCTTCTAGATGAACGACATATGTAAATTCACTGTGAAAAACAAAAATTTAATATAAAATAGAATTTTTACAATAAATGGTTAACTAAAAGATAATTACATATGAAATATTTATACAGTGTAAAAATTGTTATTATCATATGTCTTTATATATATATATGCATATCTAACGATGTTTAGAAAGTAAATGTTACTACGAATTTTGGGAATGATACTATTTAGAAACTTTAATATAAAAATATTACAGCTTTCTTACCATAATGGTACATCTGTTATAATATCAACTAATGATTCATAAAGGTCTTCCAATCTGTAAGATGAATTTGTTTGCGTCATTACAGGTAATTGGGGTGCTTCTATATGCTTTATCATTTCTTCTTCACCAACTGTTTCAATTAAATATTTTAATATACATCTTACTGCGAACAATGCATTGTATGTTTGCCATGCTGATATGATCCTGAAAACGAAGTAATATTAAATGAAACTATTTTTTAAAGAAAATATTCATTATTTTTTAAAACATGTTTAACTTTACATGTAATTTTTTAAACAAAAAATATACTATACTTTTGATTTTGCATTGGTGCAAGCAAGTTGCTGGCACGAGTAAGAGCAACTTGTATTAAACTGCCAAAGTTCCCAGTAGTTAAATTATTAGCAAGTAATTGTTGACAAGATGAATCCAATCGAGAATCTAACTCTATTTGATCATTTCTTGTAATAGGTGGACGCATGTTGTAAGATAGAAAAGTATCCCAAAATGGATCATTTGGTAAAATACTCTTTTTTCCACAAAACCTTTCCAAATGAACATTTTTAGAAAAATCATCGCATCGACTTGGTGTTGTCCCCATTGCCGTTCTTTAAACTTCTATAAGTAAAGTAACACAATGAATTTTATGAGCAGGGACTTTGTGTATTTGAACCATTAATGAACATGCTTGTTAATTATCTATGGCCTCATTACTTTAAATAGTAATACAATTTGATTATTATATATTATTGTAGAGCAAGTATTTTGTATGAAAATCGTTATGCAAAATGTGGATTATACTTTTTGAAAGTAATGTCGAATGAAATGACAGATGAAAATAAAATTTTAAATGATTATGTCCATCAAAACACCGAATAACGTACTTTGACAAACCACTGTCATAGAAACTCAGTAACTTTTTAACAGTCACTAATAATGGTTTACAGAGTAATATGTTTTTATCCTTATATGTTTGAGTGTTTTTCGTAGCGAAATAATCATCAAATTTCTTTATAGCGAGTTAGTGGACAATATGAAGAAAACGACAGACACGAAGAAATATAACCTCTTCATATGTCAAACAAGCACTTCACAGCATATAGGTAAATCAAAATGAGCGCCATCTTTGTAGATTCGTTAAATATATAAATCTGTTAAATTATTTACAGTTCGTAGTAACATCAATTTATATCTGTGTTCACTTTTACAATTCACTGATGCAATAAAACAAAAAAAATAAAACGTATACTTGTCATAGCACATGCACACAAGTTCCACATCACTTTGATGACGTATCAATGCAAGCATGCGAATACCCGGTGTGCGACTCCATTTCCTAAACCTAAATCCATATAAATATAAATATATTTAAAAATAAATCAATCTTATCCTTCTGATCCCTATATAATACCATTTTGATATAGACAAGCTTATCATTGAAAAGGAAATAAGGTATAATTTCAATGAAATATATTTTATAGAATATAAACGCATTTGGCCATAAAATTGTTAATAAATTAAGCTACGTACGAACATTTTATTATTAGAAATGTTAATATTATATTATACTAGTATAATAATTAATATTATAAAAGCATATTATACATAGAACTTCATTTAAATTTTCATTACTCAAATCATAAAATATTCATTTAATTCGATTTTGTTTTACATTAGGCTGTCATAGTTATTTGTAAAACTGGCAGAATGGAACGTCCTCGTAAATTACTACGAACGGAAGAATCCTATTCGCAATGCATAGAAGCGATTAAAAGCTCTATGCAGGCGTTTCAACGAGAATTCAGTTTAGCTAAACATTTGCTCGGCGATCAAAGGAGAGATATACTTAAACGAATGAGGTTTGATTATTAAATTAAAATTTAATAATTTTATTTTATATTTTAATTAGTGGACTATTTTATATTTTACACTCATTACTTCAATTACAATCACTGTCGTCTGTTTTTTTAACTTACTTTATGGTGTCTTTTTGTTTTACCAAATCTCTAACTTTACTTGATCTCTAGAAAAATGCACTATTTTAAATTATTAGGAATGTTTTATTAACAATTGAGTTGATTTCGTACTGATACAAACAACAAATACTTGTGAAATGGTTGCTCATTTTCTATCGTATTCACGATACTTTTTACTTCTGAAAAATTAATAATTATTGCCGGTGTTATATACGAACAGCAAACTGGGTAACACAAATGAATCGGAGGATTTGGAGTACACACAAAATTTTTACGAGTACACGGTGAAAGAACTCATGAATTTAGAACGAGCTTGCGAGGAACATCTGTTACGGTTAAAAATTGGCCTGTTAACTGCAGGCAAAAGCCGCATGCAACCGCCGTCTCATTTCTCTTTGCGAAACTTGAGAAAAGTTTGCAGAAACTTGCCTGGGAGTGATTCGTACGACGAAACGAACAATGAAACTCCTTGTCGCCGCGTTTGGGAAAATGTACCAAAATGGAGACTGGAAAATACTCGAAACATTTTAGTCAACCCAAAGGAGGTTCCGTGCACGGAACACGACGAGTCTGACATAAAATTTATGCAGGACATGATCCACCTCAGAACAAAGATGTTCTCCCTAGCTAGAAAGTCAAACAATCAGTAGGTAATTTAGTCTGTTGTACAGCGTGTCCATAAAAACACTCCTTGATTCCAAATGGTTACAAATTCAAAATTTATTGGAATATGTTAAATAAGGTGACAGCAAATGCGTTAACTCAAGACATGTCTTGTAACTAGCAAGCAGTGAAATTCATTTGAAAAAATGGAAAAAATGACCAGGCGTTCCTCAAGTGACTATCGAGGTCACCGGACGTTACTGTTTGTGACTTTTTCCTTTGGAGCTCGCAACTATGGATGATCTGCAGGAACGCATAACTGAAACTATAAACGCGATCACGCCGGATATGCTTCGGAGAATTTGGTTCGAGCTCGATTATCGTATTTGTGTTTGTTGGGCAATAGGTTGAACGCACACCGAGCGATCTAATCCACGGATACCATATAAAACTGTGAATTAATAAAACTGTACCCATAAAGGTGAAAGAATATTCCAATAAATTTTGACTTTTTAACCGTTTGAAATCAGGGAGTGTTTTTGTGGACAACCTGTAAGATTGAACAATTTTGTATTTTCTTATCGCAAAAATAAGTGGATTATAACTAGATAGTAAATTCCTATAATTCTTATCTGCGATTAAGAAAATGGATAATTGAATAGATAATGATTTAAGTATGCAGCGATTAAGAAAATGGATAATCGAATAGATAATGATTTAAGTATGTAGCAGAATATTTATTTTAGGGAAGAGGATTCGACTGCCGCTTATGATGTCACAAATCGTCGGGTAACGATTAAACAATCGAAGATTGACACTTTCAATGAGATTTATAAAGAACGAAATTCGTTTGATTTGTTTCATATGGAACGCGAATTATCGAAAATTAGTAATTTAAAATTTACCGATGGAAAATTCGTAGATTGCAATATTTGGATGAAAACGTTGGATCTATACGGTAATCAATGTGGATCTAAATGGTATTTAGTCTTGTGTCCACAAATAGAAAAAATTTTAACAAAGCGATATATAACAACGCTACACCTCAATCCAAGTGCTACTTTTGCTTTTCTATCGAGGATTCCGGAAAATGGAGCGAATTTCGTTCTGTTTAGGAAAGATTTAATTTCTTTGTTACAAAATGCTGAAGAACGTCCTTGGTTGAAATCCTGGAGACTGCAGTTTCAAACGACTTATGGGAAACACATAGCTGCAACTCTGATACAAGCCTGGTACCGTGGTTATCTGGTAAATAAATTTTGTCCTGGATTAGTAAAAAATGAATCTACAGAACTATAAAATGCTACATTTTCATCGAAAGTAAGGATTCATTTAGACTATAAAAATACATTATTTACAACAATTATAGAAAATTTAGAATCATCGCAAATATTTACTTGTTCTTGGCCAAGGTAAGACTATTCTTAAGAAGACTAGTTTTCCCATTTTTTCTGTCATTTAACTAGTTAACTGCGTTTGACGAGCATTACATGTCATCTTAAAGCTTGAAATGATACTGATTCTTTCAACAATGAATTATTTATTTCTTCAGATAAACATGTCATTCTTTTTTGCTTTGCTTCGGTCTTTCGACTCGACGAGTACATACTTAATTTTTTTATTTTATTGCGCTCAAAACGAGAGTTTCCAAACTAAATTCCACAGTTAACGGGTTAAGGGAGAAAAACTGGATAGAAAGAGATAATGCGGGCAGTAACTACCGGCAGTCAAGCTGTGCGATATTTCTCAATGGTGTCTTCTTACAGCTACGTAAAAGGAAAACCGAATCGGAGTATCTTTATATAGCCGCTAATGTGTTGTGGTTGTGCTGGCTGTCGCGTAAAAAGAAGATGGAGATATACGAGCGTTATCTGACGAAAATGTTAACGTCCCTGCAAACAACTCGGGAGCTGTCTCTGAAATTAAGTAAAGAATTCACTTCGATTGTTCAGAAACCACACGTGGTTCTGCATTTAACGTCTCTCGGCTTCCCCGTGGACCTACGTCGAATGTATCAGCCAAAAAAATTTGCCGTGTTGCAAAACATGTGCATCCTGAGAATCTGTTTCGTTAGAAACCCAAACTCCGAAGTGATTTACATCTTACCCACGAAACCGACTCAAGACCTGTTCGTCATGTACAGCGATTTCATAGAGTCCATATCTTCGGAAGAGGACGTAGCCAAACGCATCAGTTTCATAGCCCTCTCCGAAGCAGATACCTTCAAACGATGCCCGTTAAATCTCTCCAGGGTTTTACACTGTTCCGAAGAATCCCTCAACGAGATTAGGAAGAAGATCGCTGGCAAACATGCTTATTTCTTACCGTGGGTCGTCGACGAATGCGACATGCGATTAGTTGGAAATCTCGGTGTCGCTCTGCTGGGCCCAGACATGAAGCTTCAAAGTAAATTCTTAAACAAATCCAACATGTCAGCCATGATCGCGGGCCTCGAACTGTTGCAGCCACCTTATCACTGCAATATAAACAGCTACGAGACTCTTTGCGCCGCTCTGGCTAAGATGATCATCAGTCACACGGACATCTGCGTGTGGTTGTTCAAATTGAATTTCGGCTCGAGTACCGAGCATCGCGGAATATTTCTTATCAATCACATCAGCATCCCGTTCATGCCAGCTATACGGAAAGAGCGGGAAAGATTCGGGGATGAATGGGGAGCGAATTGCGCAGTGCGGAACACGTTTCTCGCTACGTTACAGGAACAGCTGCCGAAGGTTGTTTCCGGCGTTACTCGGTTGTCGAGGTTCTATGATTCTTGGAAGGAGTTTTATGCACATTTACAGAAATTCGGATGTTTGTTGCAAGCTGCGCCGATCAAGAAGGACGCGAAAAACGTTGCCGTCAGTCTGTTCATTCCGAAAAAAGGGACTAAGGAGAGAATAAAGTGGCTGGGAACTGCTGACATAGTGCGTTTGGGTATGTATTTTTATTTACCTGTCGTCGAGTTCGTAGTGGATTACTTTTAATCATTTATATCATTTATCTTAGTTATTAAAGAATAAGTATTGCTATTCAAAACGCTAGAAAATTCTCGTGGCAGTTAACGCGTTAATGTATACCACAGATCTCTGCACCGTTTCGACTAATATCTTTATGATGCCTCAAACGTCATTAAACAACAGCGAACTTGAGCCAGTAATAAACAAATTTGCTAGAGGGATGCAAAACGAAGGTTACTTCGGTTATTTAACCGTGGATTGTTATTGCTATGTGGATAAACAAAAAGAGAAATTGATCATCATGTTGCAACATGTACGTCCATGTTATTCCCACTCTCAGAGTTACATGGATTGGATGAAGTTTGCAATCGGAGGAACTTACCAGTAAAAAAATTCTGTAGTCTACAGATTTAAGTATATATTATAGGAACATAATTAGGAGAACGATTATTTTAAAACACTCTTTCTTAAGAAACATATGTACCGTTTAAAATAATCGTGCTACGAAAGCTTCCGCGAAAACGTATTTAATTATTTATACAGTTTTTATGAAAGTCAGGTAACAATGTCATTCTCGTTTGTACAGTTTAGATAAAAACCATTTCAACGCTCATGTTCCATTAGACATTCGAGTACACAGAAGATTGTCTGGGGACGATGTGCCAAAAAAAACGCCCAAATGGAACGAAACTAAGGAAAGATACGGAATCGCTATTTGTCAATTGTACAATACAGGATTCGCTGTACATTCGTGGGCAAAACTGAAGAACCTGTTTAAAACATGCGGAGTATGTTGAGACGTTTACCATACATGTATTCATTCGATAATTAAAATCTATACTTCCATTATTTACTTCGAAATCATACCTTTTAAGTGTGTGTGTCTGAGAATAATTTATACCAAATTTTCATAAATAATAACAGTATATACAGTATTTTTTAGAGTCACACAATCAGTAAGCATAAAAGTATACAGTGATTTTTCTGTAGCATTTCCATCTTGCATCACCTTTCCTTAGATAACATTCAATATTCTTGTGGCAGTCAACGTATTAACTATTTTTTCTTAACGTGTAGTTGTATTTAAGATTTTTAATGATTTTATTGTGTTCATGGTGTTCGAAAATTGTGTGTTACTAGATCATTTTCTTTTTATATTTAGATCGAGTACAGTTCTGAAAGGAAGGAGGGTTTAAGCATATTATTGCACGATGGCGAAATCAGAAGTCAGGGTTTAATGGTAGCCGTTAGCTCGTCTATGACCACGACGATATCCATGATGTATAATACGTTAACAGTGCTGCACAAGGCTCTTGCGAAGACGGTAAAGAAATTAGAAACGAATATGTCAGATCTAACAGATTTTTTACTGAAATTATCTCTTGACTATCAGAATTTAGCTACTGATCCATGCATATAAATTATAAAATCATTATATTCTTATTCATTTATATAAATATGACTATTCATGGCAATCTAATATGCCAAATAAAGGTTCTTATTGCGATAGTTACGGCCATGTTGTTTAATGTGTCTGTTTTTTTATTTGGTCAATACGTTAAATATTCAATTCGAAATATTTGAGAGTGAGGACAGGGGCAGTTGTAGCGAATCTGTTGGTAACGTAGATTGTAAATAAAGTCAATGTCTGTTATTACAAATTGTTTAACTATACATTTAAAAATTCTTTTATTAATATCCGTGACATTCTTTTTGTAAATAGTCAGTTAGAAACAAGCCATCATAGAAGTTGGTAAAAATATTTCAACATAATTTAGTGAACATTGTAAATAAATATATTGAATAAACACGCCGCATAGTCGATTTGGTGGCACCACCTCTCGAATACAATCCGGCACTATTTGGGTAGAAGTTTCGGCATTCTTGCAATAGATAGCGCCACTAATCTGGGATAAAGAAGTGGGATTTTTTAAAATTATCTTAACGGCTTTTTAATAGATTAGACATTACTGTTCTGTGTCATTAATATATTTAATAATATTTGACAATGAACAGTTAATTGTAACATTTAGATTTAACATTTAATTAATTATAACACTTGTATGAAGAAAACATTCAACTATGTTCCGAATTTTGAAAACGAAAAACAAAATCCTAAAGTCAACAATCCTTCTGTTCTGTGCTTTCTCTGTCACGTGTTTAGTATAGGGTAGGACGTATGAAATGAACTCGTGAAATTCTTCGAAATCAGACAGTGAAAAGAAATGAACAGAGAAAAGTACATCGTTTCAGGATATAAAAGTTGCTGCATTCAGTAATAACCCAATAATGAAGGTATCGTATATTATACTTATGCGATGAGGGTTAACGTACATTCTAGATTTTTATATTTGTGTTAAATATATTATTTTATTTCTTTTGTGAAGCACACGAATGAAAATATGATTCGATGTCACTATTATCTAATCGAGATCAAAAAGTACCTCCCTTTATCAATTTTATCATTGGCGGTGTGTCCGGGTAATGTCATGTTTAATATCATTACAGCAATTAAATTTCAATAATGATAAAAGAACGTGTTATTGTGACAGTGCTATAGGGCAAAGCGCAACGCACCCTTTAGACGTAATTAAAGTACGAATGCAGCTTTCGAAAGCTTCGTTTGGTGAAACGTTACGAGAAATTTTACATGGAGTCGGGATACGTGGATTTTACGTTGGCTGGACAGCTGGGCTTCTTCGACAACTCATTTACAGCACTGCTAGGCTTGGAATGTACACTACTTTGTACGATATGAGTCAGTGAGTGAAAAATTAGAGTTTTCGAAAATCTATGTTTAACTCATTTGCATCATATTTATACCCTCGCGAATGTCAGTCGAATCTAATTTTAAAAGCCTACGTACTAATGGCGTAGCGTAGTTGGCAGTTTCATAAAATTTTTAAACAATTATTTAAGATCAACCACAGAATATTTTTATCAGATTATATAATTTATATATGACCTAATGTGATTTATATATAATTGTATAATTTATACTTGACTATGTATGATTATATAATTTATATGGTAAAAGAACTCGATGCGAGTACAGCTCACAAAACAAATTTTTACACAAATCGAAATAATAAAATTAAATAATAAAATAATGATGAAAATTTTTAAAAATATTAGAAAATAGTAAGAATTTATAGATGCCATAAAGTATTAAATGTAATCTAGGCAACAGTTTGGACGCTTAAATTATCCTACGATGATTAGCATTGGAATGATATCTGGTCTCGTCGGTTCATTCATTTCAACTCCTACTGATTTGGTCTTAGTTCGTATGATAGCTGATGTGAAATTACCTCCTGGTGAGTTTATTACTGTATACTCTATCACGGAAATATATCTTAAAGATATAAATATTTTACACCTGAGTTTCTTTTCACACATTATTCTTTTATACAATTTATAGATATATGATCTCTTAACATTTTTATTTGCATTTGCTCGACTTTTGCAACACAAGTAAAAATAGTTTAATCGTGTAGGGTCTTTTGTTAATCGAGTAAACTTTCGAAAATGATAAACCGAAGAACGAATTTTTAGCGAAGCGATGGAATTATAGAAATGGCTTCGCCGGATTAATTGGCATTGCGAAGAGGGACGGTGTACGTGCATTGTGGCGAGGAGCTACGCCAACTATGATCAGAGGAGCTGTAGTCAATGGCACACAATTGGGTACATATAGCTGGGCAAAGATAATGTTGAAAGATACAGGTAATTACTGAAATTAGATACAAAAATAAGAGTAACAATATTACGTAATTATAATAAAGTGTAAAGTGAAATGTTTATATAACTTAATGGAGGATTGAGAAAGTATCAAAAATAACTTTTTGAAATTGTTATTGTATATCCGACTGAATTATTCTCAACCCCCAACTTAATGTGATTGTATGCTTTAGATGTTTTTAGTTCTCCATTTGTTTCTCCTTTATAATTTTTATCTATATTAGAATAAGTAGAAAGGACTAAAGATTTTTATTGTAAATTTCAAGGAGCGATTTTACACTCCATTTTACGAAAATCAGGAAAAGTGGTATTGGGATTTTGGTTTCCATTTCAAGTTATTAATATGTAGTAACACGTTGTAAATGCATATCTTAATAACTATTTTATTTTTTATATTTTATATTAAAAATGATTACATTATGATACTGTCAAAACATCGACACGATAGATTATATTTTTGGATATCGGTTATTGCAGGTTATTTTGAAGAGGGTGTTTCATTGCAATTTTATTCTGCTATGTTATCTGGTCTGTTGACGACTTCAACTTCACTTCCTATGGACGTGGCTAAAACTAGGTGGAGTAAATGCTTATTTGTAGTTCATTGATTCTTATTATTTCTATTAAAAACTGTTCGAAATTCTTTTCTAAAGAATACAAAATTGGAATTTACCAACAAAGCCACCGGGGCTTTTCGGCATGATGTACGATATAATGCGAAAAGATGGAATAATTTCACTGTGGCGAGGATTTATACCGTACTATACTAGATCTGCGCCGAATACTATACTTACAATGATATTTGTCGATCAGTTTCATCGTATGTATAAGAAACTCTTTGTACCGCCTGAAGAATGAAGTTTTATCCAAATGGAATACAATTTTCGTATACTTAAAAGAAGAAATGATAGAATTTGTCTATTCGTCTATTTATTATTTGTTATATTCATCTATAAAGACTATCAGATTTGCTAATAAGAAAATCAAAATAGAAAGATATGTTTTAACAATATTCGTTCTTGTTTTCCAAAAATATGTCATTTTAAATAATCTGTGCTATTAAAAAAGCGCTAGTTATAGTGGTATAATAATACTACTATAACAAAGTACAGCTTTAAAATTTATATAGGAAATTATTTTGACTAATTAGAAAAATTCTTCGATAAATTATATATGTCAATAGTTTTTATTTTAATAATTGAAATTTTAATAAATAAAATTGTAGTTTCATGTACATTTTTATTTAAACTATAATATTTCGAACAAAATTGTTAAACATTTAGGATTGGAACGTACAACACACTTTTAGGTATTATTTTGAACTTGGATGTAATAATTTTGCTTATATCTCTGTAAATAAATACAAATAAATAAATAAAAAACGTGTTCTATTTTATTTTTTTATCTCAATATTATATTTTTATAATATGTTTGAAGTAAATACGATTTTCCTCGTCGTTTTATTAAAATTTCTCTTAAAAATGTGCTGTTGACATTGAAATAAATCTGAATACACTGAACACAAGTGGAGTAGACAAACTAAACACACATTAGACACGGATTTTATTAATACTTTAACTTTAATAACTAGTTAATTAAACAAATGTAACAATATTTACGCATTTGAATCGCAGATATATATTAGCCTTCTTTCATTGTTCATAAAGCATTAGTCAACATTTTCCCACAACAGCATTTATTTTCCAAATTTTTCAGTTCACTTTTTACACTTCTATAACAGATTTTTGTAAAAGTATCACATGTATATATACAAATACGTGTACATCAGAATTGTTTCAATTTAAGAACTCAACTATTCTGATGTGTACTGCCTATAGAGTTTTACGATCTGTTCATTAATTATAAATGTTAAAACTGTGTGTGGTCCTATTCTGCAATAAGTGGGCCAGAAGCCTTTCCACAATGCTCCTACACCTTCCGTTTTCATTATAGACACCATCATTGAAATTATACCAGGCGTTTTCCCCGCACTTTTCAAGTTTTGTATTCTAAAATTTCAACGAAATTACACGTTAATATTTACAAAATCAGTTTTATGGAATTTTAGAATCTGATTCGTAACTAATTATATGGAGCAGTTTAATTCAGTATTGTAATGTAATAGGTACGTTAGTTACGAGTGTTCGTGTAAATTCATTATAATTTAGTTTAAGTACGTATTTACTTACGTTCGACAAATAAATAAAAATCAATATACTAATTTTAATGTTACTTCTAGTAATGTGAAGTTACCTTGTTTTAGTTATGTCAAATGGCATGCTGTTGAAGGTGGTGAGAAATCCCGACAACATGGATGCACAAAAATGCAGTTTTACACCGTCCTGCATTTGCACTGCGCAAGAAATTTACTTTCAAAAATGAAAGAATACAAATGAATTACATTGTTTGGCAATGCAGTCAAAGAATAGGAAAATAAAATACACAGGATATAATGAATGTTATATCTCTAGTATATTACGTTTCGAAGCTATGAAAAATTTGGCCTGGCTGTACGTCGCGAGTTGGGAAATATTAACAACGACCGCTCGTCCCATTGTCGCTACGCTTCCTCTCCAAAGGGCAGTAATTCCTTCACTTTTACATATTATTGCGAACGCATGGAACACATTTTTGTAATTTCTTCTTTGATCTATAGAAAATAAATATGCACCGTTAGTACACATAAAGCAACCAAATTAAAACGAGGAATCATTTTAATCAGACATTCCGAAGCATGGAAGTAAAAATAAACTTTTATTTAAGTGTATTCTATAATATTATATGTTCCTTTATATTTTTGTTAAAGATTTTTTCATCGATGCTGCTCACCAATTGTGTTTGTATATTACTTATTGTTATCTGAAGGCAATATACTTTACAAAAGCGTTTTATATCGTATTCGTTAAATTAAATTGTCTTAGTCGTCTCAATATATTCGATCTAAGTGTGTATTTACATTGAAGTTCAACATGGTCATGGTTTTACATGGAACAACGATAATTCCAAATGATTAAGATACAATGATTTTCTGAAGATGACTTCAAACGATTAAGCAAGATACAATGTTATAAACCTTTTGGCAATCTGCCATCAGTAGACATTCTTACAAGGGCGACTTCCGCCGGTGTGCCAACGAAAGCTCCTACGCCGCCGGCAGTAGCTGCCATAAGCGCCAACGTGCCGAAATTAGGTTTCTCAGGGTTTCTTTGTCTAATTATTCGCAAATAAACGTTAACAGGTGAATCAAATGTAGCGTGTAAATGTTCCAAAAGTAATTTTCAATCGAAAAATTGCAGAAACTCACAATACATTCTGATAATTGTAGTATTAAAGTATATATTAAACAATGTATATGCACATTGATTAACAGATTAACTGCCTTATACTTTCACCATAATACCATTATGATGTTTACAATATATTCAACTCACTTCCAGTATTCTTGTAGTTGATTGTAAATACCAAGTCTCACGGTGGTATACGTTGCTTGTCGCAAAAGGCCCGCACTCAGGCCGGAATAAAATTTCAAAAACCCTTCGTTTTTGTATATAGAGCTAATTATGGAACCAATCGACGTTTTTTCTTTTTGAAGTTGAATCCGATTTTTTATCACATCCATAGGATGAACCACGCAGGTTGCAGCCATGCTGAAGGATTTTAATGGAAACAGATAATACAGTAAGTCCTAATAATAATTGTAAATATTATTATATCGTTTAGCATATATTAAATTATTATATTACGAAATTAATATACGTGGATTTATAAAATACTTCCAGATTTAATGTAACTTTTACGTCAATATAAATTCTAAAATATATTTTCTAACTGAAGATTTTTAATAAATTTTCTTAGAAAGTAAACGTTTGTATTTTTAATCGACTGCATGTGATTGATCGCTTCAATGTATAAGTTTGCCTTTAATGTATTTATGTGGAAAAGGATTAAGATGCATATGAAAATATTTGACATTCATCCAAGTACCCAGAAAGTCCTGCATTAACAAAGGTAAACAACGGTGACAGCGGCTGTTTCTTTTTTGGTGGTTCAGTCATTTTTACTTAATTCATGCAGGACGTATTTAAAAAATGTCCAGTTATAATTTTAATGGTTCCGAGGTAGCTTCACATCTGCAAGTAAAGCACGAAACATAGAATTTTCTTCGAGTACAGAGACATGAAAATTTGAAATTGCAATGTAAAAATGAAAAAGTGAATGCATTCGTTTAAAAAATACTTAACCTAATAGCTGCAGGTGAAACTTATGGCGTTTACTTCACGTGTACATGTTAGAACGAATTTCAATTGTCAGAGTTGTAAACATTTTTGAAATATTCAGTTAATTTCAAGTATTTCGTATATGAAGTTAAACAAATTATTTAAAAACAATCGGAGTATTGAAGTAAAGGAATTTTAAATATCATATGCGAATTTCAAAATTATGCAGAAATAAATTGTACTGTATGAAGGGTAATTAAATAATCGACTAGTTCTACGTTTGCTTAAATTTTATTAGTTTATTAGTGACACTCGTGTAAAGAGGTAACTGGAAAATAAGAGAACATTTATGATTCATTAATTTATTATTGTACAGATATTGGTAACTGTTCATCTTATTATTTAGACGATAGCATTAAAAATAAATGAACGTGTATAAGCGAATGTAAATAGTATTTTGTAACGTTAAATGCCATTTGCCTTAAAATAATATACCTACTCCCTAAAGGACGTAAATACGTCGTTTTATTATCTACAAAATATACTAGAGGAAGAAATGTTTTTTCCACTTTATTATCTTTTACTATTTCAAATAACAGATTTGTTCTTCCGGAAGAAACTTCGTGGAAATACGGGGACGTCTTCGCCTTCTTGTGAGCACTGTTTCTGTTACTGTTTCTTCTTTTCTCCTTAATGGTACCAGACCCATTTCCTTTTTACATTCCTATAAACAAGGGTACGATTTCTAATTTTAGTTCTGTTCTTATTTGGTTATGATCTTAAAATTGTTGCCATTCATTCTTAGTGTAAAAAGCTTTTCGTTTTGTAGAAAAACTGTACTCAGGAATTTGGAAAGAACGTTCTCGAGAAATATCGTAAATTTCATAATATCATTCTTTCGCGATAGAACATATTGTACATAACTATTTATAAATGACAAATAATATAGAGGGTGTTAATTTTAACTCAAACACCTAAATTATTTTCGTTACTATTGCATGTAAGAAAACATTACTAAATAGGATGATTTTCACAGAATTTTGTTTATCTCCATCAGATGCACGCCTTAAAACCATGAATATCTAATTTAGTTATTTTTCTTACTTTCAATAATAACTGAAATAAGTTAGCTGCTCGAGTTAACATCAACACCCTGTATAAGTATTTTTATGCACGTACCTCCACAGCTTTCAGAATCGGATAGAGTGGTCGCACGTCTTTAGACTCATTGATGACTTCTTCCGCGTAATCAAGAACTCTCTGATTTTCCTTCTCAATAATTACTTTCACGTTGGTGGCCTTTTCTTCCAAAAGTTTCTCCTGTTTTTGTTCAGCCTCTTTTTCGCTCTGAACACACGCGAGATGAATCATTTAGAAAAAGGTGAATTCTTGTTAAATATATACAGGGTGTTTCAAAAATATACGGCATGATCATCACTGCTTTCCTTCAAATTTCTAAACAGGTTGTTGTACACTGTATTTCATAATAGTAACTCAACATTTATTTACAAAGTAATACCAGACCTCTATGCACGTATGAAATCACAATTTTGTTATTAATAATTTATTGAAAAAAGAGAAAAATTCTATATATATTCTATGTCAAAAGTTACTCTAAAATATAATAATTGTTAAATTCAC